GAAGTAAAATGAACGGCACCAGCTCGAGTTGAGACTTCTGGCCAGCAAAATCCGGTTGAAGCGAGAGCAAGCGCCGCATGCAACAATCAACAGGGTGTTCTTCCTCTTCCTCTTCCGTGTCGTTTCCGTCATCACTGTGCATTTCTCGTTCCTCATCGGCCGAAGCACCGTTGAGATGAGGTTTGCGAGACTTCACAAGTTTGCACGCTCTGCAGTCACCGATCAATGTCTTACCATTGGTGTCCTTCGTATATCCTCGCTCTGCCAAAATCACCTTCATTCCTTTCGGAAGTCCCTCGAATTCTTTGTACGGGTGATTGGCGGGCAGACTCTTCTCGAAGGTCATCTTCTGTGCTTCACCTGCGTGGCCGTGCGGATTGCTGTCAGGAATTATGGTGTCGCGCATTTCTGGAACCTTCCCACCTGGGTTCACATTCATCTTGGTGGTGGTTAAGGCGTCTGGTGCAAGACTCCCGTGGGCGGACGAATTATCGAAAATCCAGTGAATGACAGCTTTGGGGAACATACGACGAGCAATAAGAATGGCGATGATGAGCTATTATTCGATTAGAATTGACAAAGAAAGTTCAATGCAGAAAGAAAAGGACTTACCTGCTCAATCATCTGCTTCATATTCCAATAGTCGTCGCCTGAGGCCTTGTTATCTGGATATATCACTGTTGTCGAATCTGTGATTGCTAAACGAAGCTCAGCCACCATTTTCTCGTTTTCCGCTATCATCTCTGGAGTAAGAGCGAGAAGACCATGGCGTTCGCACAAAAATGCGGACACCATGATCAAACGACCACGACCTTTCTTTTTGAGGACCTGCTTGCCAGGCTTTAGCCAGTATTGGTTGTTCTGGTAGTCATTTGAATGAAAGCTGGCCTCGTCATGCACGATTTCAACGTGCTCAATGTTGTCGCCTAGAAGCTCGGGCAGAACCTCCTGCATGTCAGGCTCAGCGTACATCGGGCGGAGGTGTTCATAGGCAAGCAGCTCTGCAAGGAATTCTTCGCGCCGCTGCCTCACATCCTTACGCTCATGCCCGTCCCAGTAAACACCCTTCTGGTGGCCTCTGCGGCGGTATCCGAGCCGCCAAAGCCATCGCTGACAGTGCCGGATCGAAATTGTCTTCTTCTTGAGCGCGAGCGAGGGAAGTAATGTTTCATTGATATGGCGCTGCAATAATTTCGGATTGACCTGCAATTAAAGTCAGACACGGAATAGGATGGAGGCGAGGGAAAACAGATTTACGGTGCCAACCTCGGGCGTTCGCAACCATCGTTGAACCCCGAGATCAAATCCTTCATCGTCGAGAAGGCCGTTCGACTTTTCCCGATGGCCCTGGTGGCTGGATTTGAGCGCACCATTCGCTTCAAAAAAGCGAGCCTGTGCAGCGATGACACGCTGGAACGCCGGCCCACGACCATGGTATTTAGCAACACGGAGTGCCGCCCGGAGACGTCCCATGCGAGGCATCCAGCGATAAAAATCGACTAGAGAGGCAAACAGAACCTCACTCCGATAATCCCTCTGCTTGCGTGCTAGTTTGAGAGACGAGGCGGCGAGAGCACCGAGCTCTTGGGGTTCCTGCGGGGCTGCGTCATCGAGAATGGTGTCCACCCACTCCGCAACATTGTCTGCCAAGACAGTAGAGTTAACCGCCTCGTCCCCATGCTCCTCCCGTGCCTCTTCCTCAATCTGCTCCGGCGGCGGCTCCACCTCCTCCTCCTCATCTAATTCGTCAGACGAAGACTCCTCCTCCGTGGGAAGCTCGGGGGCATCAGTTCGGAGGCGCTTAAAGGAAGCAGCAGGAGCGGGAATTTCTTCCCATCCATCATTCGGAGAGGGAGCGCGGGCACGTTTCTGGCTCGCAAACATATTGATGAGAGTTCGCTGAGCCGGCAGTGAACCAGAAGCGAGGGGAGTCGATTTTTTGACAGCGGGGGCCGCGGTTGCATCAATGATGGCCAGCTGGCGATCCAATTCAGCCCGTGAGATGTTCAGAGAACCTGAATTGAAGGTGTCCCGCAGATTTTTCTTGTTTAATTGAACGGTTCGCTTGGACGCACCACCGACACCGTAAGCTCCCCTGTGGGTGCCTACACAAGACGATTAATTTACTGTCCATATTCCACCATGAATATACGCACCTGCATTTTTATTCAAGGCTCCGCCTTCCCGATTTTCGGCACTCCGCATCTCAGTGGCACGGAGTTTGGCAGCCGCCTTCTCCCGCTTCTCACGTCGTCTCTCTTCGCGCTCATCATAGGTCCGTGGCTTCGGCTGCACGTCCCAAGCCTCGAAGCAGTCAATGTCTTCTTCGTCGGTGTCAGATTCTGCATCACTCTCCCACAGATTGTCTCCGTTGTCGTCTAATTCAGTTTGAGAGGGAGCGGAGTTAGGCTGAGAGGTGGCGAACATCCCCCCGCTGCCTTGTTAGCTAATCATCAGGTGGTATGGGTTCGAACCTCAGAGGTCGTGTTTGATCCTTTTTTCTTCAAACTTTCCGCTATTACCCTTTCCACTTGGTGTATATGTATGGTTGTTGCTTTTCACCTCTATTTTCACCTTTCTCACAGAAAATAGTTGGCAGTAATATGTATTTGAAGGTTTTATGGCAGCATCAATGTTGCTCTAAATGCATATACAAGACTATTGAGCAGAAAATGACAGCATATACACGCAAATTCACCTTAAAATTGATGGGGCAGATGTGCAAATTTTTCTGCAAACGGACTTTATTGTGAACATGTACATTGTCAAACTGACCTTTCTTAAGGCTTTTTATAGCTTAAATTCAAACAAGAAATAATTAAAATCACTCTGTAAACACACAGTCCCTCTGTGCCGTTAAATAAAACCAAGGACATGACAATGAACTTGGTTTCAGAATTTCTCAGTGTGAACACTGACATCGGAATGGCTAACACAAGCTGGGAAAGTGATCACGTGATGTCATAGTGGGGGATTTTGTGCACTGACCGTCAGTGTTATGTTATCTATTTGTAAGCATTCCCCTTTTGGGATGTCAGAGTGGGGGAGGCCAAGGGGGTTTTCTCCCGCAGCGGTTTGCACCACTACTTTAAAGAAGAGTTGTGCCAATCACACTGATTATATGCAGACATTATAATTCACTGTAGAGAACATTTGAAAGCAGCCCCGCTTTGAAATCGTACAAAGGTCAATTCACAGAGTGCGTCGCCACCGACGACATCTAGGATGTCGAGCCGACAACGAGCGGCGATAGTGATGCCCAGGGCCCGGCCTGAAGCCCTCAATCCCGCTAGGCCAAGCCCTTTCAGGCCCGAGCCAAGCCAAGCCCGACGTCGGGCTTGAGCGGGCCTAGGGCTTGGGCTTGAGATTTTCAGGCCCAGGCCAAGCCCGCAAGCCCTGGCCTAGAAATACTCTCCAGTGTCGAAGAAATAGGACAAGATATCGTCTGCCAAACTCATCGTGCAGCATCTCACCTATTTTCTCCACTCTTCAGGTACAGCTCTGTGTATTTGTGTGATCTATGATTGAATAAGCTGAGAAACTGACCATTATCATTCTATTGAGTGTCCTGGAGGAGTCCCACGGCTCGGATTTGCTCTTGTACTCCCTGTACAGCACCGCGAGACAACTCGATCACAACGATTCCGGGCACGTGACCGCGCTTGTGATCACATTGGGACATGTCGCGTCGCCGGACGGGGATGCACAGAGTTGATCTGAGGCGTGTAATCTCTCGAAAACACTTCAAAGTCAGAATATTGACAATTGGTTCACTCGCTGGAGGATAGATCACACAAATACACAGAGCCTGAGCTGTACCTATATTCTGCTTGTTCAAGTCCACTATTCACGCGCTCCGGGTGCCATGCCTCAATTACGAGGACGGTGTGCCCTCCGCCATCTAAACAATTGTTTTTAGAGCCATACAACATCCTACACAACCTTCAAATCACGACACAAGAGATGATCTCCACAAAACACACAAAATAATATATTATAATTACTACCGGCGGTATGGAACGATTCTGAGGACGTCATGCCCTGCGGAATTGTCGTGTGATTCTGCTCATATAGTTTTCAGAAACGTACACTGAGAATTGAGGTCAGAACAGCTGTTCTGGCTGAAATGATCAAAATCAGCTCAAAAAGGAAAAAAAATCGACCGCGCCCTAAGTTCCGCAAAGAGCTGTAAACATCAAGTTCACTGAATAGTGGTGTTCAACATGACTTTAAAATTCGGATTTGCATTTGTTTGGGGAGCACGTGGTGGTAATTACCAAACTTATGCCTATTCGGGCGTCATTTATGTGGGAATTTTAGGCCCCCATCATGATCCGATGTCCCTGTTTGTTCCGGATGTCGAATGGGTTGGATTGATTGTCCACACTACAAAAACAGTAGGTAATTTATAGTCCTCCAATGTGGCTATGCCAATACGACCAGTGTTAAGATACGGTAGGTAAGATGATAGTCCGTGTGGAAACAAGTGAAGTATGATGGTATCAGCGCAACAGCGCGAGTGGTTGAATCAAGTAGCGATGGGGAGTATCGTGGGAAACGAAATGATGGAGTGATGGGTGTTGGAAATGAAAGTGGGAACACACCTCGTTACAGGAGTGAACCAGCATGTCGGACTCCTGGCGCTCCTGCATTTGCCGTGTGACTCCGCTCGCATCACACCCGCACGCGCGGCAGTCATGCTGAACATTGAAGACAAACTGAATAGCCTATAACCCCGAGCATTGTCAGGCATCATGATTACTGACTGAATTTATTGACTTACATTTGAGGGGACCACCGTTGTACCCTGCTCCGTGTGTGGTAGTGCGGATGAAGTGCCTCACCGACATCGTAGCGGTTAATGACAAGAAGACCTTCTGCAGCCTTACCGCCCTTGGGCAGCAAAAGGATCTTGATCCGAGGAGCTGAGCACTGGTAGACATAAAAACAGGGAGCAATATCAAGTTGTTGAAGTATGGATTTGTTCCTTTTGCACTATCGGCAGAATAGCTCAGTTGGTAAGAGCACTACTGGCACAATCAGTGAGAGGTCCCAGGTTCGAATCCTGGTTCAGCCATTTTTCCCAACATGGTAGCAGCAACTCACAGTTGTAAGACATTAGGCAGAGATTATCCTCGCAAGTCCTACAGTGCCCGTCACCACTTCTCCAGCAAGTGCTCCTCGGGCCGAGGAAATTTTTGTGAATTATTTGCGATTTTTCTAGCCAGGAAACTGGCCAAAAGAATGTGTTTCGCACAAAGATCTCATTTTTTCCCACGGTGTTTCACTTTTCCGGGGCTCGGCGATTTTTTTTGTGTGTACCTAAGTGGGGCTCTTGTCAAACAAGACCAACGGCCTCCATTACATCAGACGTCGTGTCCTTCCAGTCCACGGGCGAGATGCCGAAGAAGACGAACGGAAAACAACGCGCCGCAATCAATCGCGAAGCTGCCAAACGCAATGAAGCACCTGTCGTCCCTCGCCCGCCTGTAGATCCGTCACTGACGGTGGACCCCACATTTGTGGATTCTGATCCTGAGTCGGAAGCCGGACAGCCAGAAATCTCCGCGCCAGTGGAAGTAGATATTTTTACCAATGCTCCTTCTTAAAATGGGGTAACTGACCTCTGCTTAAGCAGATTCCGACGGCATCCACCTCCCTCAAGCGCAAAAATACGGATGCGGATCTCCACCCTGCTCGTGAGGCCCCGATGCAAATGTCCCGCACCACGGCATGGAGAGAGGCCACCGGTCAAACTAAAAAGTCGCGGACTAAAAATGGACAGTCGAGTATTGGATCTTTATTCAAGGTGCGGCTTTGACCTTCTTGTAGCGTGCAAAGCTTAAGGATATATTTAAGACCATCCCGAACCCACGGAAAGTTGCACTGGCCGTGCGTCACGAGTCCGAAGAGCCTGATTCGGACATCGAAGTGTGTTTTCGTTGTTGCTCGACCTCGTTTTGCTGAATAATAGTTGTTCATGGAAGATGACCGACGCGCCGCCTGTAGACACGGTAGAACGTGAGCGCGCAGACTGCACAACAGAAGTAAGCAGTATCAATTTGTGATCTTTGAGCGGTCTGTTTTTAATGGGCAGACTTGTCAGGACATCCTGCTGCCGGTTAACATCCCGATTGCGAATTTACCTGAGTGCGACACCGAGGTTTGAATTTGGCTTCAGTATGGGTCAATTAATTAATTTACAATGCAGATGCCAGCTGCCACACCTCATACAGATGCTCCTGCAGCTTCTATGTCTGTTGCGTCGGAAACCATAGAAAATTCAGCGGACCCAGCGGTTGCTGACTCGCCGCCAGCTGCTGACCATGGACAGCCTCCTCAGCCGAACACCCCAAATCAAGTGCCGCATCTACCGACAGACTCGGAGCAGGAGATCAATATCCAGCACACACGTCTCCAGAAGAACATCAAGAAAATTCGGAGCACACTCATTAAGAAGGAAACGATACTAACAAATGCAAAAGCAGCTTCATCGGTTCTAGATCTTGAAGCTTTATCTCAATTCAACGACAAATCCCGCGAACTTTCTCTCAAACGACTCAAAATGGTCAAAAGTTTGCGTGGTGCGTCTCGTGTGCGGCAGCGACAGATCCGAGAAAAGATTCAAGCGTGCCGTCCCATCCGAGAGGCCAGCGAGGCCATCGCTCATCGGTGTGGAAAGGGCAAATATTATGCTCGATTGCTGCGCTCGATGGCCATTCATGTATTGACTCATGGAGCGCTACCCGAGAAAGATCAGGGCAAAGGAGCACACCATGAATCGCTCCTGTTGGTCCCTGCTGTGTCAGAGGCCCTTCAAGAATGGGTGAAAGGGACACTCACAGTTGAGAAAGGTGGTTTTGTCGGACGGGTAATTTTTACCTCTCATTCTGTTCAACAAGTCTAATTCGTTTCCGTAGATGAGGCCAGCCAAAATGCGCTGATATGTGAACGAATTTCTGCTTCCGGAACTCAAAATCGATGATACTATTAGCGAGTCAACCGCTGTGCGATGGCTCAAACGGATGGGCTTCCGACTTGCACGAGTACAGAAGGGTGTTTACGTCGACGGACACGAACGGCCGGATGTGGTGGAGAGCCGTAATAAATTGATTGAGTATCTTTGGCTTCATGTCCTCCCGTCCATTTCCTTTTCTTTAACTCGCCATTCCTCACTTCGTTTTTTTCAGATTCTGTTACAAGTACGAGGAGAAGGAATCAGAGGATCCGAAGGACAAAGGAGGGCCTCTCGAAGAAATCCCACCTCAGCTCCAACCCAGGGAGAAGATCCACTATGTGTTAACTCAGGATGAATGCTGCGTTCACGCGAATGACCAGGTAAATTTGTTCATTCCACAACGAATATTGGTTTACATGGATGACCAGGTCAATTTTGAATGGATGCGCGAGGGCGAGCAGCCACTGCGGAACAAGAGCCGTGGGCGCATTGTCCACGTCTCGGATTTTATTCTGGAGCACTGTGGGCGTCTTTATCTAACACAGGCAGAGATTGACGCCCAGCTTCTCCTTCCGAAGGAGCCGCTCCCTCCATCCACTGTCACAGAGGTGCAGCTTCCGCGGGCTGATTGTACTGTCACCGTCGACGCTAATCCTCCCGCCCCGGCCCTGGCCGTGCCCGAGTCTATCGCGGATGCTGATCCCGGGCCTCGACCACGCGCGAACCTAGCGAAAATCTGCCCTTACATGAGCCGGAGAACGCTGCTGGCCCCTCGTTGAGACGAGCATCGACACGAGTTTCGAAACGCCGCCATTTGGAGAATCAGGGCTATGTGAGCTCGGAAGATGAAGAACTTCCTGACCTGCTGCATATGGATGACTCCGACTTGAGGACGTGCCGGAGCCTCCTGCAGCGTCATCCAGCACTGCGAAGAAGCCAAAAAAGCGTACCAAGAAGCTTGCAGGTAAAAAGAAGTGTGTGAAAAAGACAGCAAAGGCAGCTGCGGAGACGCCAGCGCAGGGTCGTACGTACACCGAGAACGACTGGGTTCCACCTCCTCCCCCAGCACCGTTCACGCTTATCAAATCCCGAGCTTCGACGCGCGACGCATTATTTATCCGGGGGCAAATTACGACCCCTGGTGGGACATGCCTCAATTGATTGCTCAAGTGCGTCTTTCTATTTATTACTGACACGACTTGACTGGCCGCAGGTCAAAGATGCCATCAAGATATTCAACGTTAAATACCCCGATGGTGTTGCGGTATTTATCTTGACTGCTCTTCAGCACACGAGGCGTTCTCCTCGGATGCTCTGCAAGCCCACAAAATGAATCGCGGACCCGAGGGAAGCAGCCGAAGATGCGGGACACGACAATTCCGTCTACCGGACAGCCACAGACCATGAACTTCCCCGCCGGTTATCGAGGAAAGGATGCTTCGGGCGCTTCTTTGGCAGGTCAGCGAAAGGTATGGAGCAAGTCCTGCGGGAGCGTGGTCTTCTCGAGGTTCTCGAAGCGAAGCACGGCTCTGGGAAGAAGCTTCTCGGTGTCTGCTCGCGTGTAAGCTATCACAGGCTGCCGCGAGAAGGCATTGAACGACGCCAAATCAAAAGAAGATGAAATTGAGGGCTCTGGTCTGGGAAATCTCGGAGCGCGGGGGGTTTCCGAAATGGATGACGACGATCTCGGGGCGCAACTGATTGTTGCATGCAGGTGTCTCTCACTCCAACAAGACTTCCGCGAGGAAAAACCCCTGCTTCAGCTGATCATTGAGAAGGCTGGCCACAAGTGCCTATTTCTGCCGAAGTTCCATTGCGAACTGAACCCTATCGAAATGGTTTGGAGCCAATTGAAGTGCCGTGAATCTCTCAGTTTTATTTGGTTCATCCGTCTGATTGTTGCCAGGTTTCCGTGAATTGACCGACGGAACTTCCCCTGTGCCAAAACCCTTGTCCCGGAATCACTTGACCTCATCTCAAATGATAACATCCGTCGCTACTTCGGTCATTGCTATCGATACATGGATGCCTACAGGTGGGCTTGCAGTAAAATTCTTCGGAATCTCGTTAACTTTCTTGCAGGGTGGGTTTAAACTTGCGCCAAGCTGCATATGCAGTAAAGGAGTTCAAGTCTCATCACTGGATCCCGGCGAACGTACACGAGCACGTCGGCATCGTCGAGCGCGCGTCCAGGGCCTAAAAATCCTAACCCTAATCCGTCCCAAAAGGGAAATTACCTTACGTAATAGGGTTACGTTTCATTTTTGTCGGGGTCGAAAAACAAAATTTTGTTCAATCGTTCTGGGAAGCACACCATAGCTTCTTTAGCATCTCTTATGGTGTTCTGAGGTGTTTTTAATGTGACTCTTCATTGGGGCAAAATGTAGTTACAACTTCTATATTTGGGATCGATCACTGCCAAATCCGGAACCGTGATGTGGTGACGGGCACTGTAGGTTCTTCAACCACGCCGGCAAGCTCCGTTGCTTTGATGTGTGTGGTGCACGCACAGCCACAGAGTCATCTCGATGTCGCCACTGCCAAATTGCTCCCAACAACGAAAAATTTAGGACCTTCGTCTACTTGACCGGTTGGTTGGCACTGGTTGAACATTTCAAAATTTTCACCTTCTTTTTCAGTGAAAAATGTCATTTATTTTTCACACATTTTTCACTGAAAAAGCAGGTGAAAATTTCAAAACATTTTCATCACTTTCTTATTTTATTTCGAATTTTTCACCTTGTATTGAGAAAGTGCTGAAAAAGTTTTAAAATTTTCACCTTCTTTTTCAGTGAAAAATGTCTGAAAAATAAACAACATTTTTCACTGAAAAAGAAGGTGAAAAAATTGAAATGCTCAACCAGTGTGGTCGTGCGAGATCTGAACAGCACCATCCCCTGTAAACGACGACATAATTTTTCGTTGATGGACAGAGTCACTGGCGTGGATGCGGCGCACCCTGAGCAGCATGGAATGGTAATAACATTTCCATAGACTAAACCCGAGGCGTCTCTGTTTCACTGCACAGTGTTATTTCACTGTATCTAGGCTGGTTCGAATACAGCAGGCCTACCAAAAAAAACGTGAAGCTGCCCTCTCCTGGACTCGGAGGGGATTTA